TGCCGGAGGTCATGACGTACCTTCATCATATATGCATGTATACATCAGCTTCTGGTGCATTCTTTTCAAATCAAATTGTCTGTAAGCCATTTATTTTTAAGTGTTTCGGTATCATGGCTACATTTACAGTTTAAACTATTAACACAGATTTACCTTGACAAATGAATTTGCAAACTTGGTTAATGTTTTTTGCTTTGTGTTACAAGCCAAAATTTTGGTTACAAGCAAGCTTCAGATTTGCTGCTGCTTAAAAAAAAAAAAGAAAAAAAATGGAACATTGTACTGTCATGCCCTCACATTTGGGCAAGGAAAGCAGCAGCCATTTATTTAAAAAGACAGACACACAAACACAGAGGAATGCGACCAAGGAGTGACTCCAACTCCAGGTTCTGATATCACTCACTAGGACACGCCCCTTAAAGACACACTCATACTGTACATAGTGTTTATGTACAGTAATTACACTATAAAACCAGTTAATTTGTTTATATTCACTTTTATCACGACTGCATTTATACAGAACAGTACTGTTTTTAAAACCAGTTAATTTGTTTATATTCACTTTTATCACGACTGCATTTATACAGAACAGTACTATTTTTCTTAATTTTAAAAAAAAATCATTTCTTTAGGGACTTGAATCGATTAATGACATTCCAATTCATAATTTACAACATGAATACATTTGTCTCTGACCTATCTCAATGCATCCATTTGTGTGTAAAAAATTGGAAGTTTTGGAGAGAAACTGTTGGAGGACAAACAAATGCACCAAACATGTAACAAACAGACAAACAGAAACTCACTAATGAGACAGATTGGCAGTGATTGGTCGCACAGAGTGCTTCAGGCCTCCTGGGTCACCCTCCATATGTCTCGTTTGTCAGCTGCGTTTAGCGCTCACACAATGAACAGCCATATATGGACATTTTCTGCGAGGGATTTTTACAGCCTTTGCTAGATAAACATAATAACCATTTGCTTTGGCCATTTAACATATCTCTCTCTCCTCTTGAAAAAAAAAAAAGTCCAAGCTGGAAATAAATCTCAAAATGAATCCCAGGTGTAGATGAGACATTCGGTTGCTCAACACAGTTCAAGTGGCACCTAAGCTGTCTGGAGAGTGTTTTCTTTGGCCCAGAGAGAAAGCCAGTGAATTTTTACAATGGACTTTCTTTGCTTAAGGCTCAGGTTGCAGATCTGTTTGTGGAGACCAGGCTAATCGGGCTGCACATATCTATTGCAGGTTCTGCAGTGGAATGCGGTTCACAGGAAGGAAGTGGCATTATTGGCTTAGACATTATTCATGGGTTAAATATATATAGCTGTGTCAGTTGTGAGGCCCTGGGAAGAGAGGATAAGACGACAAGCTCTGGTCAGGTTTTGCGGCTCTAGTGGCAAGTCCGGTTGGTTCTGGCAGCGAAAGTGAGGATAATGCGCAAGTCTTCCAACCGTTTACAGTGGAGGGCCGAACATCCTGTGGTCCAGGACACTGGCAAATATCCAATTTGTCCGATTCGTTTGAAATTAGAACCAATTTTCCCATGGGAAATAATCCGGGTTGCACATAATTTTGGTTTGGTGCTCAAAAGAGCATCTCATGTTAGTACTTGATGCAATTTTTTTTCATGACCTAGCCACCTAACTGGATGAACTTAAATACCTACAATATCCACCTATGACTTAGAAGCCAGGCTGTGCAAAGATCAAGAGCTAGTTTCAAGGGACAACGAGGGTCAGACAATTGTCAATTAGTAATTCATTCATTCATTTTCCGATCCGCCTATCCTCACAAGGGTCGCAGGGGGTGCTGGAGCCTATCCCAGCCGTTGTCGGGCAGTAGGCGGAGGACACCCTGAACCAGTTGCCAGCCAATCGCAGGGCACACATAGACGAACAACCCTCCGCGCTCACACTCCCACCACCTAGGGACAATTTAGAGTGTTCAATCAGCCCGCCATGCATGTTTTTGGAATGTGGGAGGAAACCGAAGTACCCGGAGAAAACCCACGCAGGCCCGGGGAGAACATGCAAACTCCACACAGGGAGGACGGAGCTGGAATTGAACCCGGTACCTCTGCAATGTGAGGTCGATGCACGAACCACTGGACCGCCCCGTCAATTAGTAATCAAAAAGCCAAAAGGGGAAGCAAAGATGCAGTGAGTTTTGTGCAGGTTACGGAGGAAGTATAAACAGGTCTATACTTTAGAATTTTACCTTACACTACAAAAACTGTAAATTTCTTGCTGGAGATTCTCTGAGATTTTAACTCTGGAGTGTAGGGGAGAGGTAAACCGATCCTGTTTCCATGCGAGAATGTGACTGGAGAAGGAACAAATAACGGTAGGTTATGGGTTTGGCAAAGAAATAACGATTGGGCTCAAGGCAGCGACCGTCTTTTCTGCCCAGCGGAATGTGTCCTTTTGACGCTTTGGTCTTTTTTTTTCAACATAGACACCACACTCTTTGCCAAAATATGGTGGCTGATAAGGCTTCAACAGAAATACTAAAGCTATGAGTACTAAATATGAAATACACAACACAAATGGGGCAACACACTTGGCACAAGGGAAATTACGTAAGACAGATCCTGAGACATACAAAGAATGTAGTCTCTCAGTCAAGATGAATCACTTCAACAAGACTTCCTGAGACCAATTACTACATTTCTATTGGTGGCTTTGTTGCAATCTTAAGGCATCGCACACGGATCACAAATTGTACACAGATCGAAGTTGTTTGGTGAATAGGTGAGTCTAAGTTCCATTTGGTGAACGTGTGACGAGTAAACCACAAACAGTGATTGGCTTCTGATGCGTGGAGCCGGCGCAGCGGCCTGGAAGGTGGTGCGGCGTGACGGATTGATGAAGTATCACAAGCCCAGGAGTTCCAATCATGTAATCAGCCTGTATTGATTGACTGTCTCTGTTCAGAGAATGCCGCTGCGGCATGCTGCCTGTCACCCTTAGCGAGCGTAAAGAGACTTGATTCGGGGTGGCACCAATGCTCTGGTCCAGAAGCATGCTGGGAGGGTTGGGCGGCATAATCAGGATGCAGACACCACCGCACAACACCAAGCACAGTTGTCAGCGCCTTTGTATTTCTTCTAATTAAAATGCCAGAGAAATTAATGCATCCTCACTATAATTGCATTAAATCCAGCCCGCCATGAATTTAAATAGTTCTTTAACCCGAGTTTGCATTGCTAATGAGTTTCTTTGTTACATCCATCAAATATCATTCCAAAAAGACAGTGGTGGGACGTTACAAAGTACATACACGAGAGTAGATTTTTCAGTGATGGTACGGGAGTGTATTCGTAGTGCCCACGGCATTGGTAATATCCACATCTGTAATGTCGAAAGGTGCATGCAGGTTTTAGAGTAACAGAACCTGCCATCCCAGCAACATCTTTTTTCAGTCAGACAACATCAAGCCACATTCTGCACATGTTGTATAACAGGGTGGCTTTGTAGGATGTGAGTAATAGGCTGGCCTGCCAGCAGTCCAGACCTTTCTCCCATTGAAAACACAAAGCACAAAATATGACAATGGAGACCCCTAACCGTTGAAGCATTGTATCCTGCTATTATTTACTTTTGATACAATGTTCCATTTTCATTGGAATAGGGGCTTGTCCGCAAGCACAGGATGTGAATATTCTTGTCACAGCTGCAAAAAAGATGCAAGCCACAAATCAAAGCAATATTTGTCTAAACTTGACAAATAGGGACATTTACTGTGTTCAAAACTGCAATATAAGCCATTTCAAGCACCTCATGTTGCATCCTTTTGTCAGCGGTGCTCCAATCAATAAGCCACTTATGACCCAGACATCTATTTTCGGTGCAATTACATGTCACGTATATTGACATAGACAAGACAAAAATATTGGACAGCGAAGCCTTCAATGGCAGATATCTGTCCCGTGCCCCAAAAGTTTCACTCCAACACAAACGTGTCTCAGAAGTGCTGTACGTTGCACATGTAGCACATTTGACAATAAAGTTGACATGAATGAATGATTACGGAGACTGTCTGCGCTTCCACCTCCTCCCTCAGTCCCCTTGAGGACCTCGCCTCAACTGCTTTGCAACGCGATTCGTGTCAGATGATGGTAATAGGAATGAGTTCAATTATTTTATTTCTACCATCATTCAGAGGGATTGTCCAACACTGTTGCCATGATTATTAATGGATTACAATGACGTACATCCCCGCGACCCTTAAAGCGGATCGGAAAATGAATGAATGAATGAATGAATGAATGAATGAATGACGTATATCACACACATATGCAGAGCGCCGAATCCGTATGGGTGAGCCTCGATTCGATACACGTAAATTGCGTTCGACCACCTGTGCTGAAAAATAACCCTGCTTTTGATAAGTCTAAAATTGTGTCTACTTTTGGGCACAAAATTGCAAGTTGCTCCGCAGGCGTGCAGAACAATACGCCGGAACGCTTTTTGAGGCGTAGCATGGTTTGCCAAAATCACAAAGCACTCGAAATTGGACCTGCCCCATCACGAAAATTGAAAAGCACCCACTCATTTTCATGCCAAGCACAGCCTACTCTCTGTCGCCAAATTATCAAGTGGGTCGGGGGAGCGGAATTTGCAAATTGTTTTTACGCCGGACGCTTGGGCGCCAGTCTACCAAAATCGGGCCCTATGCCTTTGATTTGATAAATTGCCTAGTTTTCTCTAAATATTCTCATCTCAGTATGAATTTTGTGACCGTAGTGCTATGTTAGGTTGATAAAGACCCACTTCAATCCCGAATTTGAAACCCTAACCATCAGATGTGAAAGAAACATTTTAATTTATATTTAGCACGGCAAATTAAATTTAAAATGTTCAAATGCATTGTCAAAATGTAGTCGGATCAGCTAGTAATTACGTGTGCTCAAGGATGATCTTACTACATACATCTGGTGTGAAGAGCCTAAATTTACAACAGCTCACAGTTCATTTGTTTTGTTTCCACGCCTTCGCAGATCCGAGTGGACGGTAAACTGGACTCAGGAGTGTTGTACGAGACGGTGACCGTGACCAAGGACCATGTCCCTGTCCTGCGCGACATGGCCTTCTCTCTGGACAAGACCTCGCTCTATATCATGTCCGACAATCAGGTGAGGCAAAAAAACATCTGGAAACCATTTGGATTGAAACCAAAATCCTTGACAAACATGCTGCAAAGCGTTGTTAAAGGAGTCTACTTGAGATTTGTGGGATTAAATGTTAAAAGAGTCAAATTTCATACCTGTGTGAAGAAAATACAGCAAGCCCCCTACAGAGGAACTCACTTGAACATGCCACGACAATTAAAGTTGTGGTGGGTACCTCCACTTTTAAAAAACATTTGCTGTTTCATGAAGGCCTTTTCACACTGCACTTATCAAGCTTTTTTGCCGACTCCTACCAACTTGTTAGTTCAAATGTTAATTAAAGATGAAAAAACATGTGGAGCACAGACCCTTTTGGAATTATTTATTTTTCCAACAACTGATGGCTAATCAGCTTATTAGGTACAAAAAAAGCACATCAATTTTTGCCAGCTCATATTCTAGTGAAAATGTTCAGTACAGGAAAGAAAAAAAATCTACTTCACCAAACCTCATGAAATTTGGTGGAAATGTCTATCATGGACAGAACACATGAAAAAGTCTCAAGGACCCATGACTGACATTGAACCTTCAAGTTGACCATTTGAAATCAAAGAAGCAATTTCGCCCATATGTGCCCCAACGAGACAAGATCTATCTCGAGACAAATAGACGTTGCCAAATTGTGATTTTTTTTTTGTTGTCACTGCCTTCTAATTTTGGTGAAGCATGCTTTCCAACTTTGATGATCCTTTTGATGATGTCAGCTGTAATCATTCTTTGGTTTCCACCGTCCAACATGCAAGGAGCCTCCTCAAAAAAAAACTTAACAGTTGTGTGTTGAACATTACAAATTAACAGACTAAAACATGTTTGGGCAGCGACACACAGAGAGTCCGAAAAATAGGAATTTATTTGCAATCCTACAAGCTGTGTGAAAGATCCACCAATGTTGCAGAAGGAAATGTAAAAGATGCAGGCCGTGTGTAGAGGGATGAGCTGCTGTTCTAATTACTTATCCATGCGGATCGACAGAGTGCTTGCATCTTTTGTACGCAACACACACACACGGCCAATAGTAAACCATCAGAGGCTTTTTCTATGCGGCTTGAAACACCCTTTGACTTTCCCTCGCTTGGCCCACCATCACACAGCCGTTTGTTGTTGTTGCAGTCGTCAGACATTGTATATTCCCCGCACTCGCCGGAGATAACAGCGAGCAAGCGGCGGTAATCACTTTCCCTCTGCCATCAAGTGATTATTTGGCGGCTGAATGGCAACGTGAAATGGGATTAGGCTCCGTTGCAGCCGTGAAAAGCTCCATGAGCGCTTTGCAGTTGCAGAATTGTAGAGGGGGGTTCTCAAACTTTTTTGGTCAAGGGAACCCTTTACCCTGGACACATTTTTCCAAGTAATCCCAACACTAATCAAACATAACTGTAATGCACCCTTAAATGCCATGGAAATTGTTTATTTTTTTGAACATTTGACCTCTTATGACCTGCTTAATAGAGAGAACATGAACCAGATTCAATAAGATTCAATTCAATATTCATCCAATGCCTCTAGCTGACCTGCACTGCTTCCAATAACATGACTGCAGAAAGAGAGGAGTTAGTTTACACAAACGCAGCCAACTAAGCCATTTTTTTTCGCTATATTTAGCGACTTTTCCGACTGCTATAGTTAAGCATGGGCTGGTTACTAGTTTCACGGTTTCAAATCAACCACAACTTTCCACAAGCAATATGATGCTTTATTTCGAGGGTCATCAGTGCAGGCCAAGTGACATGACCCCTGCCCCCCTGACATTCTCATTCCACTCTTCCGCTGACACTGACCCATGCCTAGCCGTAGTGACTATTTTTTCAAAAAAGCGTCTTGACCCAAGACCCCAGATTGAGAACAGCTGCACTGTCGAGTGTCCAACTTTGTTGAGCCGCTTTTCGGAGGCATGGAGCTTTTGCGTGGAAGAGTGAGGCTGTTGATGCCAATAGTATTGTGTCAGGCCCTGTCTTCTAAAACAAATCGAGGCAGCTCTTCCTTCAGTGTGATAGACTGGAAGAGACAAGACATCACTTATTGATGAGCGCCGGTCGTTCAAGGAGAGATGCCGGCTTCCTTGGAGGAGACAGCCACGCAGCACCAACAGTGACACACAACAAGCCAGAAGCCAGCTACCTTCTCTTTCAATATTGCAACAACTGTGCAGCCCTCGCCAGCTCAGTCAACCGCACACTTTGTGTCTCTTGGAAATGTTCTGTTGAACACCTAACCCTAGCATGAAACCCCAATTCGAAACACAACTTTGCAACCCTAACCTTAAACCATTTCCCTGTCCTGAAACCCGAACCTCAATGTCAAACCCTGACATCCAACCCTAATTTGCAAACTTAAAGCCACATTTTGAAAACCTAACCCTGTCTTGAAATCCTAATTTGCAACCCTAACCGTGATTTGAAACCCTCACTTTGAAATCCTAACCACAAATCCTAACCTGACTTGAAACCCTTCTTGGAAACCTTAACCTTTATTAGAAACCCTCGCTTTGAAATTCAAACCACGATTAGTAGCCCTACTTTGAAACATTAGCCCTGTCTTGAAACCCGACCCATTATTTAAAACCCCACTCTGAAACCTTACCATGGCTTGAAACACTCACTGTATTTTGAAAGCATTGAAATGTTAACCCTGGCTTTAATCCTTCATTTGTAACACTACCCACGATCCTAACCCTAAGTATGAAACCCAAACAACTGTTTTAGACATTCAGCCCTGTCGTGAAACCTCATTTTGAAGCCCTAATCCTGGTCTGAAACCCCCATCTTAAAACCTGGTTTGAAACTGTACCTTAGATTTCAAACTTTAATTTCAAAACCTACACCTGATATGACACCCTAACTCTAGTTTGAGAAAGTAACCCAGCCTTGAAACGACAATTCGAAATCCAAGGCCTGTCTTGAAACCCCGCTTTGAAACCCTAATCCTGGTATGAACCCTAATTTTAAAACCTGGTTTGAAACCCCTCGTCTTGAAACCCGAGCCCATCTTTTTCCCTTCAGACTCTCCCGCCGCTTGCTCACGGAATCCCCAGGGAGAGCGCCTCACTCCTTGATTTCCCTCCCACATTTTCCAGCAGAGATGAGAGCTTTCTGGATCCCTGCGAGCCAAACAATGCAGACGTGGAATCAGGAGGGAAGCACAAGCAGATTTGGCTGAGCTCAGCCAACCCTCGTGGAATAACAATGAGCTCAGCCATCTCCTGCCGAAGGTTCGCATGGTGATGAAGAGCGAACGAGTCGAGGACAGTCGGTGCCTGAGCATTGACGGCCACGAAAAAAAACATCATCCTGAGATGATTCTTGATATCCTCACAGTGGTTCAGCTTATCGCCGCGTGTCTCCAGTTTGATCACTTCGGAAGACAAAAACAAGCTCACAATAACCTCGGTGGGTGTCAGCCGGCGTTCTATGAAATGGCGGCTGAATCTTTAAATATCACAGAAAGCGGGAAAAAGCACTGTCGGGGTTTTTCAGGACAATCTCTCAGGGCCTGCCACGTCATCTTTTGTGGCCCGCGAAAGAAAATCATGTGCATCAACATGCAAGATTCTAGCTAAAATCTGTACCAAATTTCAAACTGTCAGAAGTAATGAAAAATAAGTTTGAGGTATTACAAGCATTTTTTTTTTTTGTTACGAAACCCATTTTATGACTCAAACAATAGTTGAACAACCTATGATCCTAGACTACTGATTTCAAAACTACTGTAGTTATAACTTTGTTGTTTATGGATACTTATATGATAGAGCGTTGAAGCATTTACATAGTTTCAATGTCATAATGGCCTTCTGAGAGAAACTGGAACAACAATGTGGCCTGCGACAAAAAAATGATGCCCAGGGTATATCTCGGTTTAATCTATTAATACAGGCGATTTTAAACATTTTTAGAGGGGGCCTCCATTATTTGCAAGTTTTTGTGTCAGTGGTTGGTCCCTAAGGGCTCGCTGTATCATTTTTTATATAAGGAGCTATTTGTGTGAAACCCAGGACAGCATCAATAAACTGAAATGGGAACGGGAAGTCCATGTCCCAAGATGCCAGTTCTCAAATGCACGGCATCACTACTTCACGTCAAATGAACCAGAACCACTTTCTGCACCATCAATGTTGTTACAGGAACATAGGAACTTTTCATCCTTTCAGACTCTGAATGTGGGGTTTAATTTAACCCTTCAATTTACCCACTTCGGAGGTAGCAATAGAGGAGGGAGGGCAACTGTGTGATCTTATAGGCTGGTATGAGATTCTGATCACCTTGAACAAAAATATTGTGTCTTCACAATACCGCAAAAATACAGCTTTAAAATGTATTTATTTTGAAATGTTTGGGTAAGTAACTTTTTTTCCCCACGGAATGCAATTTATTTTATTTGAAAACAACAGAGAATATTTTCAACACTAAAGCCAGAGCAATGTTAGTTTGCCAGTCAGCTGCCTGTGTCGCAAATTTATTGTATTTTTTCCACTCTACCAGTCATAGACATGCTCTTGAAGCTGATTGCAAACGTTCATTTTCACATGGCATTATAGTATTTGCTTGTGCATGATACTGTTTCAGACAGTGTACTTTGCTTTAAAGTGGCTCTAGATTTTCACCTTTCCTAGCTGATTATCATTGGTAGAATAACTTAGTGCGGGGTCTGTTGTTATGTAAATCCCACTCTTTCCTAACCGGTGGGGGCAACGCAAGGGCAGGATGTATCACTTGTTAACTGTGAGGCAAAGGTGGGCAGGCTGTCGCGAGACACAGCTATTTATTTAGTCAAGTAATTAAAAAGTCAATTTCCACCAATATGTCCCATTTAATGTGTTCATGTTGGGCCATGCTCATCAACTTTGCTTGAGTCCCACTTGATGTAAAACGTGCTTGACCTACAGCAAATATTCCTTGTATTGTACAATGAAATTCACCAGAAAAATGTCAAAAATAACACTTCAGTGGTGCCTTGGTGTGCGGGTTTACTTTGCTCCCGGGGCACAGTGTAATGCACACATCGGGATATACACGGAGACCTTCGCAACCGCTCCGTAAGATGCACTAATTTTTCAACGATTTTTCGCAGAGGGTAAAAAAACCCACATATTAATGTTAAATAAACTTCAACTGTAAGTGATCTGGCCCAGCACATCATTTTATGTGGCCCGCGAAAGCAAATCAAGCATGTCAACTTCCATGATGCTTGCTAAAATCTGAACCAAAATTTCAAATTGTCATATGTAATCCACAATAGCAGTCATTATTCTTTACTTCTGATTTTAAAACGAGTTATTCATCAATTTTTTGTGCGCTGTGTATGTAATATGTGGAGGGGATTAAACATTTATTTGGTTTCCCAAAATTCATAGCAACCCTCCAAGGGAAACCGTAACTACAATGTGGCCCGCGACAAAAATGAGTTTGACACTCCTGGCTTAAAGTCTCTGTTTTTCACGATCTGTCAAACTTGTTGCTTGTTGTGAAGTGAGTTGAGTTGATTTCACTGCCTTCACCTTGCGCTTGTACCGGTACCTCAGATTTTTCAATAGCACATCAAAACAAAAAAAATTGGTCAAGCGATCGATGGTTTGTGTCTCGAGTCAGGTCATTTGTGAGTCAGAGTATCATTGTACAAGCAATGGTGAAGAAAGATCTGAAATAGGTTCACTTGATCCCTCTTTCTGTAACACATTCGGAATTCACTGCTATAAATCGGACTTTGATGCTGCTCATGTGGACTCAAGGTTGACTACGTCACACGTATGGCGAGTACATTAAACAAGTGGAGCACAACCTTCGAGTGTTCTGCTCCCTTGCATACCAAGCCAGATAGGCTCACACTTATTTTTATTTCATTTTACTTTCTAATTATTCCCCAGCTGGACGTGCGATGCGAGCAATTTCCTGATGTAAGCAATCACAAATGAAGAGTGCATTAGAGTGTCTCCGGTGCGCTAATAGCATAAGTGGGCGCTCTCTCAAGTCCGTGTTGGCAAAATGGATTAGCTTCGGCACCCCTCACACACCCACACACACACACGCCACATAACTTTCACTCTTTTTCAGCAATTCGCAACCCATTTGGTTTCATTCCATTAACAAAATGAGTTTGCCTCGTGGGAGGAGTTTGGGGATTTAAAATCCCAGTCTGACGCATTTGGAATAATGGAGGAATTATTGTGGTTTGGATCAGTAAAAACGGACAAAATCACCCAGTGAGTCAGCCTGTTGGACAATAGAAAGGCAGAGGTTCGCATATGTTTTGGGTTCACAGCACCCTGACAGTCGAAGTTTTTTTCTAATGAGCCCTCATAATAGATAACGCCAATTAAGGACAGCTACTGTGTGTACCCCAAATGCCTTACAATTAAAAGTTGGCCTTTTTCCAAGAAAAAAAAGTCAATGGTATGGTAATGGCTTCATTTCATTTATTTTGGGGAAAAAATGAATTTATGAGTATAAAGTCAACAAACAGCATTAAGTTAGGAGTTATGCGCTTTCATAAATGAACATGTCGAAATCCAAACCGCAGACAAGGTCGTGGTTTTATTTGCAGAAAGATCCGGAAAGAATAGCTGCTTGGCATGGGGGATGTGCCGATACCCATCTCTCATTCTGTCAAGTGGCTTTTTATTCTTGCACCTTTTTAATAATTTCTTTTTTCTCCATTTTTGCTCTGACAATTGAGATCGAACACGTGAAGTTGCCAAAGAGACTACAGCACGAGACAGATGAATAGCACTTATATAAATGTGCTGCAGTATAAAAGTTCAACCATGAAAGCATTGTCTGTGGTCGATCAAATTGTGCTTACAATTCCAATGCTTCAGGTGGGTCAAAATGAGCTTTCCACGAGGGGACACAATGAACATTTTCACTTTTGTTCTCACTGAATGATTACTGTCATCTTCCAAACAAAGTCCACCTTGACAAACTTTTTATTGCCTGTCATTGGCAGGTTGTGTTGAAGCAAGAAAGAGCTCCCTTGCCTGGGGTTAGAAAAACATTGTGGCTTCAGTTACCTAGCAGGTTATTTTGTTGTTGTTTCCATGGTTGCAGCACACAATAATAGAAAGCCATGACTCGTTCTATATGTCAACCAAGCAGGCATGTAGCAGCTTCCTCTGTCCATTGTCCTTCATTCCATCATCTTGTTCTGTGAATGCTGGCTCTTTTTTTTTTTTTTTTTGCTTTTCTGCACAACCTTAAAGTGGAAATATTCTGGAAAAAAAATCTACGTTTTAATGGCTTCAACAAACAGGTGCGCCTCCGCACTGCCTGCACACCCATCATGTGTGAAATTAAACAACCAAGAAAATATTGTCTTGGATACTTATGAAAATGTGACTATGATACAATAATAAAAATAAAATGAGAAATAAAATTATGAAAAAACAGCAAGAAGGGTAGCCACCAAAAAGTATGACTATTACAAGTGTCTTAGCTCAGCAGCTGTTTGGACAACATGTCAGATAAATATAATAACAAATAGTACCGAAAAACGGATTCATCACAGTACTTGTTAATTGATTTCCAGCTCATCAGCTGTTTGTTTTTTTTGTTTGTTTTTTTAATACGTGACTTATCATTCATAATAAACAACTAACAGATCCGCAACCGCATTGACCTCTTTGGAATAGACCTGAGGACAAAGACAGAAAACTTTATTTGACAGCTTTTATTTTTTTTCCCCCCACCTTTCTGATTTTAGGTGTCCCAGGTTCCCGTGGAGGCCTGCGAGCAGTATGGAACGTGTGCAGAGTGCCTAAACTCCGGGGACCCTCACTGCGGTTGGTGTGTCCTGTACAACACGTGAGTCGGCATGCGCACAAATACACATGCACGCCGTGTCTAAGGGATTAAGGGCGTAACAAACAGCTAGTGGGATGTTATATATAAGAGGAAGCATGTGATTTGTGCAGTTTCAGGGCGAGCAGTTTATTTTAGCGCAGTCAAAGACAGGAAAGGCGAGGATTGTCTCCCATAGCCGCACGACCCTCGAGCTCGGCCAACAATTGATTGTAACCCGCCCTCAACACCTCATAAACAACCAAACCAAGACACCCAACCAGTCCTGGCCCTATTTAGACCAAAGCCTTTTCTCATCCAAAAACACTATGACTAGACCATAGTGTTAGCTGTAGTCCTCATGCTAGACATTAGTCCTAGTCCTCTCCCACACCTTAATCCTAGAGCCTGAGACCCAGTTCTAGTCTTGGCCTAAAACAACAGCCTTAAACCTTGGGCCTTAAACCTAGTCTTGGCCAAAGATATTACTTTTGATCTTCACACCAGACATTGGAACAAGTCAGTGTTTCATGCCTTCGACATTGGACCTCCTATAGACTTACCGGTAGTCTTGGCACAACACAAAGCTAGTCCTAGCCCTAGTATTTCAAACAAAGAAAAACTGGAAATGGATTATGAACAATGAAATATATTAAGAGTACATACTTTCCACATATGCACATAAATAGCATTTTCGTCATACATCTGGTTAGGCAGTGTGTGGTCATACGGTATGTGTCCCTCCCCCAGTAGCCCTGATTAAAAATGGCAGCACCCTCCAGCATTTAATTTGCCCATCTCTGCCTCACATCTAGTCCAAGTCCAGGTCTGAGCCCAAGACTTTTTATTCAAGCCTACCTCTTAAACCTAGTCCTGGCCCGAGGCCTTAATCTTAGGCCAGGATTTTGCACTAGTTCTTAATCACAGTCTTGGCCTTAGATCTAGCCCAGAACCATACCTGTCAACTCATACGGTTTAGCCATAGTTCATACGGGTTTTGTGGTGAATCTTACATATATGGCCATATCGCACAAATCATACGGATTCTGAAAATTTCCATTTTTTTTTTTTTTTTTTCTTCCCCTAACAGGTAGTTCCGTTTGCTTTTGCCCAGAATGGTGCTAGTGTACTCGAATGCTTTCATTTCTGGTAACTTTCCAGTAAATCACGTGGTTCCTAGTTGAAAACAGCAGAGTATTCATTGCATACTTCGGTAGTGTACAAGCAAGTTCTACAAAGAAACAAATATATCATTCATATTTCGTGGGTTTTTTTCTGCCGTTATTTTGACATATAAAATGCTTTGGTATGTTATAAGGATTTTTTGCTTTTTATAAGGATTTTTTTGGTCGTTTATACAGGTTGGCGCTCTGAAAAGTTGACAAGTATGCAGAACCTGAGACTAGACTTAGCTCATCTGAGACCTTAGACGCGGCAGAAAATTTCGCATTATTACTAGGTCTAGGCCTTAGACCCCTCAAAATTTTATTGTCTGGGACAACTACCGGTGGTGCGGTGGCCAGGAGGAAGGGGATTGGGGATTAGCTGGGCCGTCACATCAGGACCTCATCATACCCGCGGGAACATTTTGGATCCGACAGAGCCAGATTATCTCTCTCATCTTAATTATGTGACCCCCCAGGTTAGCTTGTATAATACCTCGATATAGACCATTGGGGATTGAGGAGATTAAAAGCCTGTGTTTTGCAAGACGGCCTGCAATGTTTGAAGCTGACCTGAGCAGGGTGGATTTAGCAGCGTTTTATGGTGATGTGTGCGTTTCTGTGAGCTCTATCTTGATGAGGATTGACGTCACTTAAATTGCAGCTTTCACTGTTGTCGCATCACCACTGACCTTAGAGGAGAGAAATAATGCTTTGTTTTAATCTAAATTAACTCTGTTTTTTCCCCCCCATTGCCTCCTGCCATGTCTAATTATATGAATTAATGGTGTCCACTTATCACAAAATTGCTCGGCCTCCGTTCCCTCAAGTCAGTTGTGATCCATCATTCGGCAGAACAAGACCACTTTAACTTTCTGTCAATGGAATCCACTCTTTGCCATGTTTCTGGTCTATGAGCAGATTTCACAAAGCCACTTTTACACCACGTGCTAACAGCTATGTATGACTAAATAGGTTGAACTTACAATGTAAATCCAAGTGCCCAGTTCCGATTTAATGCCGATATCAGATCTTTTTCTTGCTTTTTTCCATTGTATTTGCTTTTATTTAGCTTTGTCTGCAGCCGCGTCGGCATCGCAAAGGAGCATCTTTTCTCAATTTCCTGAGCTGGATCAATAACGGTTACATTAAATAAATAAATAGATAGATGTACATTTCAAGTGGCACATGTACAATATGGCTGTGTGTACATTCACAGACACTCTAATTGCACGTAAGCACCTCAACGAGTGTCACCACCAGGCACAAACAACACAGCAGTAAATGATATTATATAAACAATACAAATATTCAATGTTGCAGGACGTCGAGATGGCTTGGTGTGACTTTTTCCCCCATTTTAATGATTTTAATGACAGTAATGTCTACATTACACAACCGGGCACCGACTGCAATTATTTTGCTTAATAAAAGATGGACAAGTTCTTACAGGGCTTCAGAATAGGAGCACAGTAGCCCCGAACCGAAAATTTTAGGGATGGAATTAGAAAATTTAGGGCCACACAAATTGACTTGCATAGAGGATTTTCATATCCTCAATCATTTTTACTACATTACTTATAAATGTGCAAAATGTATGTGGAGCAGAGGTTTGTCAGAAACATAAAAACATTCAAGAAACAATAAAACAAACAAACAAACAGCAAATTTATTGGTCACATATGCACGAGTTGATGAAAAATTAAATTGCACTGTATCAAATTTTCGAGGCAAGCTGCTACCATTTAGGTGAGCCCTGTCTGATGGACCGTATTTATATCATACTGAATGCTTGAATCATTTCTGCTGTCATTCAGACTGACAAACTGGTACAGATGCATTACGTCTGATCTGTGCATTTACGGTGCACTTACATCGGCGTACACACATTGGATCTTTATTTATTGCATGCAGTCAGATTCAGATTAGAAGATATATGATTCCATGCCTTTTTTTCGCTGGTATGATGACTACACCGATTGTGCCATCTGAAAGCAAAACATTGGAATTGCGTCACTTGAACCATGCATTCGCTAAAAGTTATCATGAGTTCCGGTGAAGCACAAGAGGTGTTGCACTCCGGGTTTGTTACTTAACACTCAAGCATCTGCCCTCAAGACAGACATGCCACTCCACCCATCGCCCTGTCAACAAGTCTGGCAAACAATTAATTGGAGCAGCCTGTCACCAAGGTCTCCCTACAATCAATCGGCCCAACTTATGCTGGCATTTGACCATCGACCTTTTCCTGGTCCTCAGACTTAGACCTATTCTTTGCCCTACACAATAGACCTGGGTCATAGACATAGACCTACCTATTGGAGGCCCTATGTCACAGACACAGTCCAAGGCCTAATGGCTTTAGACCCAGTAATAATCCTTGCCCGAGTCCTTAGAACTGGGTCTAGTACTGGCCCAAGAGCTTATTCCATGTTTTCGTTCCAGACCTTGGCCTTAAACCTGATACCTAGTCAGAGCCCTAGAATTTATCGTTACTACTCACTCTAGAAATTGGTGCTTGGACGCTTGTCTTTGACACCCGTTAACAAATTCTGACAGTGCAGCCACTGAAAAGGCAAGCTCAAACTAAATTATAAGTTGAAAACTGACTTTAGTGCTCAGGCAATGAATCCAGTGCCAACCTCCATCTTCCTCGGAGTAAAAGATATTGGTCTTGGACCAACATCAATGTGGTCACAAAATAAAGTGCTTACAAACAGAGGCACTGTACCCTCAAGATATATTTAATTATTTACGCACTGAAATTAATGGTTACAGTTAGGGAGCGCTTATAGTCGTGGTTATAAAATGTACTTTTTGTGGAGCATTCTCATCGGCTGGATTCTGAGGCTCTGTCTATAAATGAATGCACACCTGCTGGGGGGGGGGGCTGCTTGGCGAGGAGAATGGGACAAACGGCCCCTATCACACAAAACTTGATAAATAAAACAGCAACATGAAATGAGTATTTTTTCGGCGGCACTTCAGCTGATGAGTGGTCGCAGGCCGGCAATCGCTGCTCCTCGCAGCCTCACTTGAGGGGTCCAGCCACAAACAGAGCTATCCCCAGCTTTCCTTTCTGGCCCTCATATCGCGGTGTAATTATAACAGAAATGGCTGAGCTTCTCGAGCACCCTTGGCGCCACCGGAGAGCTCGTAAAGTGCCGCCTGCCCTCGGTGATGCTCGTTAAAGATGTGCCGTGTATGGCCACAACACATTTCGCTCAGTGTGCTGATACAACTGAGCAGTGCAGATGAGAGACTCGTACTTTTTTTCTCCAATGCCGATCCCGTGTTTCAGCGTAACTGGCCTCTTCACGTCTGAAGCTACTGAGAGGTGACACTGTCACAAGACTGTGGGTCAGAACACAGCCTGCTTCAACAAGTTAATGCATTAAAAATTGGTTAAAAAAAAAACAACAACAACAAAACAAACAAAAAAACATCTTAATAATTCGTCCCTTTTGCCATTGTGGATCTTGCTTTGTCCTCTGGGGCACAACCGTGCTGGAAAACCAAAGGGTCTTCCCCAAACTGTTCCCAGAAAAAAGCATAACGTTGTCCAAAATGTCTCGCATAGATGAATAATTAAGATTCAAGCCAGGATAAGTATTCAAATCAGTGTTGCAAGCCTGGGGCAACGATTAAAAAAAAAAACAACAACAACAAAAAGTCATTTTTAAGGCAACACAACAATCCTGTCGAATCATTTGCACCCAGATTCCACCCAAGCAATGATGTGAAAAGCATGAAAATGCGAGCGGAGCAGTGCCCGAGACGCACGAGCAATTTAGCAGCTGCTCACTTTTGCCATGCAGCCACCGGACCAAAGCAGCAATTCATCCTGTCACCTTTTCATCACGCACATTTGCAAGTAGCAATGACGTTATAATACTCGACATGGATCATAACTTAAAAATAAGAGATTTTACGTTTTAAGGCATTGTCATTATTATTCCATTTTGCACTGTCTGACTATATACCGGTATTATTTTTTGTACTGTTGAGGACAAAAATGTTTCAATAATTTTCTCTGGTCATCATCATTTTATTTGAAAACAACATATTTCACATGTTAATAAAAAAATTGAAATACCCTCTAGTTACCTTAATTTTGCGTACAGATGCTTGAAAACTGACAATTGAAAAACAAGTCATGATAATAATTGTGATTTATATAAATATACGTCATCAACCCCCATCTTCATCTCTGAATGGCTACCGCTCCGTGAAAATCATGTTCTGTACTTGTATGAACTGGTCCTTGTCTTAAAATAAATGAATAAATACATAAATGAATGAATGAATGAATAAATAAATAAATAAAAGCCATCACTGACTGAGATGATGTATCAAATTATCTGCATTGTTTGTTGTACAGGTGTTCAAGAAGGGATCGCTGCCCGAGGGCAGACGAGGCCTACCGCTTCAACACTGACATTGACCGCTGCGTGAAGGTCATCGCTCACCCAGAGAGCATCGCCGTATCAGCCCACAGCGTCCCAGTGAGTCTGCTTCACGTCCTCTCTCGCCCATACGACAGTACGTTGCCACGCAAGTAGTCAACATCAACAGTATTTTCAAGTACAAAGTTTAATGAAGGCAAATCTTCACTTCTAGCATTCAAAGATTACCTTCATCATATACATTTTATCAACTCAGATAAGGCCAAGTGGCACAGCTGACTTAAGCAGAGTCAGCCAATTTCCGTTTCAAAGCATCTCAAAGCCTGTCGCTTCACACTCAATCCTGTCTGACGTACAGCGAGGCGAGCTTATTGACTAATCGCGGCACATTCACCCTTTTCCTAGCTGCTGCTGGAGGTGAACAATGTTCCGGACCTGTCGGCGGGAATCACCTGTTCCTTTGGGCAGCAGGCCGAGGTGGAAGGACACGTCAATGGCAACAGGGTCATGTGTCTGTCCCCGGCAGGGAAGGAGGTCCCGCTGATACCAGAAGGACAAGGTGCGCCTGAATAAAGGATTTGTTGCTCAGTGACTAACTTCCACCTTTTATTGAAGAGGTTGCCAGTGAAAAGTAACTGACTGTCTGAAGTGCAAAGGATCGGTCTTAAGAGGACATCTTCCAAATCATAACATGACCATAAAATTGGTTCAACAGGGCAAAAACATGCCGAAGATTGGTTGTGACAAATTTTGGATGCATAACGCTTTCTTTTCCTTTTTTTTTTTTGGTTTAAAAAAAAAAAAAAGTCCAAATATTACTTTTGGACAGTTGGAGTAAGAAGAAAAGGTCAGATATGCATAGGACAGCAAATGTCTGAAAACTCTGAGACCCCACCAAAGCAGGAAATATTGACCCCTGAGAGTCCAGACTGCAAATGAATGGTGCTTGTGCGAAGCCGCCACTGGCTAATTTAACCTAATTGTGGTATCATAATTCTGCTAAAAGCAGAATAGCTCCACAGACATATTTTTGAAAATAGACGCGTCACAAAAGATTTACATAATTGTTGGGTGGGAACTATTTGTAGAGAAACCGTTACAAAGTTTGGATTAACATGTCCCCTTCAAAAGAGGCTTCTCTCCAAAGATAGTGCAGCAAAATCAACACTTCATGGCATTCACTTTCTCTCATTCTGTGGTGATGATGTCGCAGCTTTTGAAGAAGCTTTACAAGCTACCGGTTGTGTGTGTGTGTGTGTGTGTGTGTGTGTGTGTGTGTGTGTGTGTGTGTGTGTGTGTGTGTGTGTGTGTGTGTGTGTGTGTGTGTGTGTGTGTGTGTTCGGCAAGCAATTAGAAGTAAGAGCAAACTTTAATGGACTGTAAAAACGCTCACTGCAGTTCTCTTGGGAGTGTGTGCTTACGTGTCTAAGTGTGTGTTTGTGAGTATCGAGCCGATAAGCTGAGGTTCAAGTCATGCTGAATCCACAGTTCCAAGTTGGGACACGATACCCGACCGTGATGATATTACTTGAGGCATGAACAAAAGACGAAGATGAATTTTGTTTAATATGCAAATAGTTTGTCCTCCGAGTGCAGTAATCCTCTCAAGTTTTCACCCCGCAGCAAGACGCTATTGCAGAAAGACAGACGCTAGGTAGACCTTCATAGCGAGGAGATAAGAAAGTACTGAACATTTTGTTTCTTGTTTGCCTGCACCTTCTCTCTCTTTTTTTTTTTTTTTTGTTTAGCCTTATTATGCAGCCTCCTCCTCACCCCTCTTTGACACTATTTTTCCACATTTTTGGCTAATTGACACTGCAGGTCAAAGTGTCCATTTAAGAATTGAAGCCGCATATGCTAATCATGGCCCATTGTGTTTACATTGACGAAATATGAAACATCCCAGGTGACACCCACATTGCAGGTGATTAACGACACAAGCATAAACCCTGGGAATGGAAAACACCAAAGCAAACAATAATTCATCAATAATGGAAGAATTGGCCTGGGCTGACTTCTTTTATTTAATTAAGGGGCACATTTGAAAATACTCTTCAAACGCACATTGGTTCACACCAACCGTTCAAAAACTCTGAGCGTTGTTCAAACGCCATTCGATTGCTCAGAGTGGACCAAAAAAAGGAGTGCCAGAGCGTGGTCTAGAGTCCAGAATCTAGATCAGTGGTTCTTAACCTGGGTTCGATCGAACAACAGGGGTTCGGTGAGTCGGTCTCAGGGGTTCGACGGAGCCTCTGCCATGGAGGGTAAGATACACGCGACTCAACATGTTAATTAGTTATGACACGCCTGCTTGGCCATCACTGGCTGCAGATGATCACATTACATTGCATGTCCAGTCAGTGCTGTGGGAAATTTAGTTCGCTTAGTAGTCAACGTGTGACTGTCCCGATAGTACGTCGTACAATTAAAAAAAAATCTTGTGTTGAAGGGTTTGGTGAATGTGCATATTAACTGGTTGGGTTCGGTACTTCTAAAAAGGTTAAGAACCACCGCTCTAGATGCTGGGGATACAGTGCGCACGTGTGTCAGGCAGTCCACATGGAATCAGTCAAGCACGAGTTGTGGATTGGTTTATAACAAAAACTGCATTTGGAAATTAATGGGAGGGGAGCGCGCTCTGCCTCTCCGAAGACACCACTCTCAGTGTGGTGGTAGGGCGTCAGAATGAATTTCTGAAGGTACCCAAGAGTTAACATCCAGATTTATCCACTAACTGCCATTTGCAATTTTTCTGCTTATTTAATTAGCAACTATCCTGAGGCATATTTAGAGCATATTTCATTGTCTATGCTTTCACTGTAGTTCAGACGGTGGGATTTCTTAAAAATGTGTTTCATTTTTTTGTTTGGGTGGCGCATGTGTGTATATATGCACATCACCAATCGTGTACAGTAAGCGCCAAAACAAGTTTAATATTTCGAATTCATCTTACATGACCGTTAGAAATAAATCTTAGAGATGACTTAATTAGCCAATGATGGTGTAGTGGTACACTCGCCTGATATGTGGCGTGGGATCGGTTCCTACTCAGTGACGGTATGGATGCAGGTGTGAATATGTATGCACATGCAGCAGGGACACTTTCAAATTTAGCTGCGCTCCAACATGCAAAGATTGTGTCTCACACAAGATGTTTCACTTCAACATAGTTCCTTGACACCATGGTACTACTCTCCTAATTAAAGGGGGAGTTGGTGCCATCTTGTGGCAATTTAGCGCTTCTCCGACAGAGCAGAACAACAAAGAGTTGAGTTTTCCAACAAAAAGTGGGGGATAGGTTTCACGAAAAAAAAAATCTGTTAAGGATTCCTATATTTCAATGAGGTCAAGCATGCAATGACTTGCTATAGCCGATCTACGCTCTTCTACTGCAGTCGCACTGGCCGATATCCAATATTCATCTGATTTTGACTTGCATTTGGATTCCAAACAAAAGATATCTGATTCCATGTTTGTTTTCTATTTATACGACCATGGCTCATATCTCAATCATGTCACGAGAGGAAAAAAACAAAAACAAAAGAAAACAAAACAAAAAACATCTGATCTGTTACACTTAATACAGGTAATGTACTCTAAATCCAGCCTTTTACTGACATTGTCGACCTCTCTCCTCTGTCAGATTGGGCCGGCGTAAAGCTGAGGCTGAACTCCAAAGAGACGGGTCAAATGGTGGCCAGCACGGAGGTGAAGTTCTACAACTGCAGCACGCACCATATGTGAGTCCACAGACCTCTGCGCTCGCTCACTCGATGGAGAGAGTTGGCAACCTCATTTAGGGCACTGATGGACTGATTCTTGCTACAGACGAGGCTCCCAGATAAATTCTTGAGCTACATCGGTCTGTCGGATTCCATTTAAGTCAACATGATGCATTTGTCACAGATCCAGTCATTGATGATGGGCAAATAAGCACAATAGTTGCAGGTGCCTAAATCATTACACTAAATGCCATTCGCAATTTTTTTTCTTTTTTTTTTTTTGTGATCCAACGTTTTCCCTAGGGACAACCGTTTCATAATTGTGTTTGTTGTCAGATAAAAGAAAGATAGTGTTAGCTGTGCTCGGGTACCTGGAGGGCAGATGAAACAATGCAGTAATGAAAAGAGGACTTTTCCCTCAAATGTTCACATTATACCATGCTAATAGACAATAAACATGGTGAGTGACTTGGCTTGGAACCATTATGCTAGTGGGACTGCATTTAGCATCATAAATGGCACCATGATGAACCACACTGCTTTACAAGAGACATGTGTTCGGTATTAATGTTAACCTGAAGTCAGATTAGGAGACAGCAATAACTGGATTGTCACTCTTGGTACGGCGGTCATTTAATTTTGTAAAATTCTCGAAAAAAAATACCTGGCATTATCTTTGCCCATTTTCTTCTTTTTATTGTATAATTTTTAAAAAATCGTCAAACACTCCTATGTATGCTTTATTAAATGTAGTGAACCAGCAGTATAAGGATAAGAAATGTGGCAGAAATAAATTTTCCTAAATTATCACTCGTTCCCATTATATTTCATATTTATACTATATGTATAGATATATTTTGTTTTTCTTGGAACCAAAATGGTTATAAGTCACATTTTATTGGGTTATTATAAAGTTGATAATTGATAGCCAAGCAGCACACATTTTCTTGGCAAATGGCTTTTTATTTTGTTGTCAGTGGTAGAAAATGAATAGGGATTATAAGAATACATCATGTATTACTTTGGGTCTCGGGTAGGAATATATATTTTTTTGTGACTTATGCAAAAAAAGAAAAAAATCATAGTCTACTCTGAAATAAAAATAATTTAACACTGCACGATGAAGTGATAATTTTACAAGACCCTTTATGACTTTTTCCAAAAGTGTTACATTTCATTGTAATGGTACAGCATTAAAAATTTCATTGCGCTTCCTCTTCATGGATATGAGTTCACTTTTTTCACTAATTGTCAGCTAGAAATCAGGCGGACTCACTTTAAGGTCCGTGTGGAAGAATGATGATTGAATGATTAATGAAGAATTAAAGAATGTTGTTACTTGTAGTTTATTCCTTTTGATTGGTGGTGTTTGCCTTCTACCCAAAAAACATTTTTATTCTGTAAGTTACACAAGTCGCGTTCTGACTGTACTGTTTGGCCTTATTTCTGTTCGGCTACTGGAATTGAACAGAAGGCTGTACAAATATTGCAGTACCACCAAAAACCATTGGGGCAGGTTGTATGGATCCTGAGCCCAGCCAGGGTTAATGGACCTTTAAGGTATTATCAGATCTGTGGCAGCACTGACAAACTAAGATTCTACAAGACTCAACATAAACAGCTCAGAGCAGATTCAAATGCAGAACCATTGATTGTGAGGAAGATTTGCAAGCCCCACTGATCCGCAAGATTGTTCAGAAGAAAAAAAAAAAATGGGAAAAACTGCTTTGTTGTGTCTTTTTGCTTACATTACACCAAAGTGTTGTTGCCTTAAGCACACCGATAATTGGGTTCAATTAGAACATTATGTCTCCTTTCCAATCGAAGTCAGCCAATGCATCTACCCTGAAAGATTATCCTGCAGTATGCGGTGGGTTAAGAGTGATCGTTCCTCCCCAACCTGCCCTAAAAACAGTCTCTCCCGTCTTCCTAATTGCAAACACTAGATCTACAGGTATTCAATCTTCCCGAATACTAATCAGCCGATCCACAAACTCCAGAATTGTGATGTGAAACGTGACGATTGCCAACAAGGAAGTAACGTCAAACTCGCGCTGTTTTCGGAAACAAATCAAAGAGCAATTGTTTGTCTTGAGCATTTGTATGTGTCTCTAAATTCATTCACCACAATCAAAATGACAAGAAGTCCAGTTTTCTCCTGTGATGATACTTGCGACTGTCAGTATGTGTGGTGTGCCATGTTTGTGCAGAGATGAAAGTCCTCCGGATTTTCCCGGAATTCCGGGTTTTTCAAATTTTTATGAAAATTTCTCCGGAGAATTGAGGAAAATTTGCATAATCCGGATATTAGTTGACAACATTGAACGAAGACGCGTTTGAGTTCGTTGTATTGCTTTCACGAGCGTAGCCATATTGAGGCACTAACACTAGTAACAGAAAAGAGATTTTTGTTTGTGTAATAACGACAGAAGGCATGATGGCGTTTGACTAATGGTTTAGTAGAACGAATGGCAACTCGCAACAACAGTAGCAAGCGTCATTTTGCCTCTTGGGTTATACCATCTCAACTAGAACGTGGGGGATAGTCCCCAAACAATTTTCGTCTCTTTATAAACACACCTGCTAAACCCCAGTGGAATGAATAAAAGACGCAGTCAACAAGACAGTTGTCGCAAAAAATATATTTGGCCAAAAAGGGAAAAACACAGATTGGCAGAAAATCGTGTCCGTCCGACTTCGAGTGTCGTCTCGGCTAACTTAGCTTAGCTGTTGTCGTGTGTGACGTCATTTGCGTCGGCGCTGATTGGTTGAAATCAAAAGACGCACTTGCGTACGTGTTCGCGCTGAAACACGCACAGCAGAGAGCAGCGGACTACTGCTGAGGCACGCTTAGCTTGAGTGGAGTCGCCACAACAGTAATACCCTCGCCTCGCATTCTCATGGCCTCGCCATATCTTGGAGATTTCGAA